TCCCAATTCGTCAGTCACGACTGACGTAACGTAGAACGTGACTGACTGAAAGGGAACGTCTAGGTTACTTGTGTAACCCTCGTTCCCTGAAGGAGGGAACGGAGACATTACGTTCCGTCGCCACAGTTGCTGTACCACCGCTGTACGGCCGGGGCACGTAGTCTCGGCTCCTCAGCGAAAAACTGATGTGCGTTCGCTCTCCTTTTTTTTACCCGCGCTGCGGGGCGGGATGCGCGTGGCGAAACACGCATGCCAACTGTCATTGGCTTGTTTAGTTAACACTCGAAGGTGATTGGGCTCTCGGGCGAGATCCCAATTCGTCAGTCACGACTGACGTAACGTCTCCGTTCCCTCCTTCAGGGAACGAGGGTTACACAAGTAACCTAGACGTTACCTACAACTGATAAAAAATTATTTTATGCAATTTTAGTATTCAAATGTTTTAACAATTGTAATTTAATTTAATTTAATTGAATTTAAAAACAGCTCAGACTTCTGTGGAAGAGGTGGAGTATTCCGATGCAATATTTACTACACACAGAGCTCAAGATTCGGTAAGATGTGTTTGTTGACCCTCTAACTCTGGCACTCTTTATTCTAATTATATTATAAAAAATAAAAAAACGTACCCCTTTTAGACTTGCACTCTATTAATTTACTAACTGCTTGTTTTCTTAAAAAAAACAACAACGAACACTTGCTTCTCTATTTTTTTGTATTCTATCGTTTTCTTTTTATTTATTATACAACTAACAAAAGCAAAAAAGGCCTCTAACACTAGCTTGCTCTATTCTTTTTCTATTCTATCTGTTTTATATAATAATAAAAAAAAACTTGCTACGTGTTAGTTCACCCAAAAATAAAAATTAGCCCATAAATTACTCACCCTCAAGTCATCCTAGGTGTATATGACTTTCTTCTTTCAGACGAATCCAGTCGGAGTTATATTAAAAATGGTCTTTGATCTTTCAAGCTGTTTAATGGCACTCAACGGGTGTTGCAGTGCATGAGTCCAAAAGAAGTTAAATAAAAGTGCCTCACACGGCTCCAGGGGGTGAACAAAGGCCTCCTGTGGCGAATCGATGCATTTTTGTAAGAAAAATATCCATATTCAAAACGTAATAATCAATTGAATCTAGTTTGCGCTTACTGTTGTAAACGGAAGCAGCTCCGGGCAGATGACGTATGAGGTTGGCGTTCCGCATGCGCCGCTCAGAAGTGACGAACGCGGAAGCGCAGCGGAGAGATCTAAACAAAAGAACGGTCACTAATTAGAAGTACAAAACGAGGATTTGTAAAGAAGAATGTCAGAGGATTTCGATATAAGCCAAGAGGAGACTGGTTTTCCTTTGCTAAAGTAAGGAAACTTTGCTTCCTTTGCTCCTGTTAACAAACGTTGGTTTTCACGAGACTCAACGGCGCATGCGCAACGCCGACCTCATACCTCATCAGCCGCTTCTGTTTATAACTGTTGGCGCAAGCTACATTAAAGTGATTATTACATTTTGAATATGGATATTTTTCTTACAAAAACGCATCGATTCGCTACAGAAGGC